TTGTGCATTAAATGCATCCTCACAGCCGGCTACAAAGCCAGAGCCGGCTTTGCGCCTTTTCTCCGCGCGCCAAACAACGGTCTTCAAATTTTTTGCCTGTAGAGCCGACTGCAGCTTCCAGAGCCGGCTTTCTGCATTCCATTTCACCAGAGTCGGCTGCACTTTACCAGAGCCGGCTCTCTGCACATTGAATCCTTTTGGTCTATTTTTAGTGCCATCCAAGTTTACTTACAATCTTTTAGCAACTTAACTACACACTTAAATAAACCAATTATTCACTCAAATGTGTTTTGTAATCATCAAAATCATAAGTACAACAGCTGCTCCACTCCCTCATGACAAAATCGACAACCAACATACCCCCTAACAAAACAATCCCTCCCTTACATAAATTCTCCTTAGTAGCTAACCTATTCAAAAATAATCTTTACCCAAAAATACTCAATTTAGAAGGAACATATTTACTCCAAATAACCTTAGACCATTTCTCATCAAAAATACAATTTTTAATGTTAAAAAATCATAAGCTACCTTAACCAAATATAAACCATCACTACTATGCACCCGTCTCCAAGAATCTACTCCATCTAGCCTTAGCTTTACCCCATTAATCATCTCGCAAAGCTGTTCTTCCTCACCAGCAACCCTCCTTGCACATCCACGCTGGCACCTACAATCCCATACCCAATTTTCACCACTCCAAAAACCCATATCCTTTAGTAACCCCTCCCTACTAGAAACTAGCACAAACATCCTAGGAAATAAATTTTTCAAAGGTTAATACCTCACCATTTATCACTCCAAAAATCCACACAACTTCCATTCCCAAGTTCCCACTTAAAACCCTTTACTAATTTCTCCAGTAGCCTTTCCTTTCCAATCCTCTACCTAAATGTGTCTCATGATAGTCACTTTGAAGTGAGGCATGCCCGTTCCTCTGTCTAATATATTTATTATCCCTCCATTTGATTTTCGAGATTTTCCCATCCAATTGAGTTAAGATCATCATAAAAACATATCTCATCATTTGGGTTGTCATTGGGAAAGTTGCCACCCAAATCAACTCCAACGCCTCGATATTTGGATTGATCTTCACCATTTTTATACTCCTCAAAGTAAATATTTAGTAGTTGAGTGTATCTTGTTTGAGGCGAGAAAGGAATCTCTCTTTGACTTTGACTATGAATAAACACATCGGGATCAAGATAAATTTTTTGAATATTATCCTCAATAAAAAGCGTGTATCCAATTGTAAAATCATCTCCCATGACCTGCATATGTGCCATTGTTCTAGCTCTCCAGTGTCTGCGTTGTTTGTGAGGGGCCGAGTGGTGGATGCCTAAGCTTGAACATCTCTATAGAGGAGAGGTAAACTACTTCTTCTTAAAATAATTTTGTGCTATGTTAGAAGCAGATGTCTACCCTTCCATTCAGGTGCCTTGCTCTAAATCAATGCCTCAACATAGTGTTGTACCTATGATTTTGATGATTACAAAACAAATTTGAGTGACTAATTGGTTTATTTAAGTGTGTAGTTAAGTTGCTAAAAAATTGCAAGTAAACTTGAATTGCACTAAAAATAGACCAAAAGGATTTAAAGTGTGCAGAGAGTCGGCTCTTGAAAGCTGCAGCCGGCTCTTATGAAATGAAAGTGCAGAGAGCCAGCTGTGGAAGCTGCAGTCGGCTCTACAGGCAAAAATTTGAAGACCGTTGCTTGGCGCGCGTGGAGAAAAGACGCAAAGTCGGCTCCAACTTTATAGTTGGCTATGAGGGCGCATTTAATGCACAACGATCGACTCATTTGAAGATTATTTAATGTATTTAAAGTCGGAGTTCCAAAGCCGGCTCAAAGTTTTGCAGCCGGCTCTCGAGGAAAACAGAATGGCCTGCAAACCCGGATAGCCGGCTTTGGAAGTGTAAGCCGGCTCTGCAGAGCCGGCTCTGCAGAGCCGGCTCTAGGAAGTTAAGCTGGCTCTCTTGACAATCCTGTAGCTCGAGCTTTGTGTCCTGCAGAGCATTTAATGACCCCAACGGCTAGAAACGACTATTTTCGAGCAAGGGGTTATAAATATGGTTGGTAACAGATCTGAAGAAGTTTAGAGAACATTGCATTGAATATCTTTACCTACCTACTTGAGCTTAAACTTGAGTTTTTGATCTTTGAGTGATCATTGCTTGTAATCCTCTTCTTGTGCTTTTAGTGAGTGATCTTGGGGGTGTGTTGATTCCTTCAAGAGTGATCTATTGAGAGGATTTGTGGGGCTTACATTGTAAAGGGGTGAGGTTTGAGAGAAATACTCATCTTATTGTAAAAGGATTGAGTGGCTCATTTAAACCACCCTTGTCTTTCTTAGTGAAGAGTGTGGAGGAAATCCTTGGTGAGTGAAGCCAAGGTAGAGGACTGGGCTCCAAGTGGTTGGACCGAACCTCTATAAATTCATTGTGCAAGCTCTTCTTCTCTACTCTCCTTAATTTGGGTTTTGTGGTTGAAAAAGGGGAAAAGTTTTGGAACTCCAATTCACCCCCCTCTTGGAGTACATTGAGTCAACACATAGTTTGGAGTCATGCTTTCTAAGACAGCCATAGCAAATTTTCTTCAACAAGATTAGTATCCTCAATCTTTGTAAAAATTAATTGAAAGAGACAACCATAATCTAGTAGTAATTGTGGAGTTGGATTGATTATTTCCCCTTCATATAAAAACTGAATTGGATCATATAAGGATAGATCTAAAGAAATTTTACAAATGCTATAAACGAGTTGATGTTGACAGTCAAATCGTTTAAGAGGGATTCTGTCTACAATTTCTCCTTCACACTTATTACACCTTTTGAGCCTTCCTTATATAGTAGAATAATAGGTGTCCCATGTGAAGCCTATACCAGATCGGTTTATACCATCTTGGGTTATTTGTTGAAGGAATTGTTGAATTGCCTTTAATTTAACGTGGCTTGAGGCTTCTACTTTTTGAAAAATTAGCTATCTTGAATCATTTGGCAGATCGAGTAAAGGAACGTGTTGATTGAAATACATCATGATTTGCCTTTGAGTGTTATCTACTAATGGAATTGTAGAAGTTGAGGAGAATCCTTCAATTAAATATTTATTATTCCCAATGGGGGAATTAATTGTCTTTCACCTGCCAATGGGGCTAAGATGGTCTTCACTATTTCACTTGAAGGTTTTTGCAAATCTAGAGAAAGATAAGGGCTAATGAAAAAGCTATCTCCAACATGTTGTTGAGCACATTGAATAGCGTCCTCAATTACATAAAACCCGTTATAGAGTGGTTTTCTAAAATCTTGTATTTGGAATAAGTTTTCATCCCATTTCTTATAAACTCTAGGGGTTTTTCCCTTTATTAGAACATAATAATTAAATTTATTATATTTTTTCAAATATCAAGCTAAGGTTCTTAAATTGTTCTAAAAAATATTCAAATTGCCAAAACTCTCTTGAATGTTGTTCAGTAGTTGGATCCAAATTGAGCCCTTCTATATATGACCTAACTCTAGAGGTGTTGCCTCTATTGTTGGTTTTGCCTGAAGTCAAGTGTCTCATTCTGATCTTGCACAAGAGAAGAATGGATATATCTAGTTAGCCAATCAGCAAGATATTTATCTTTACTTTTTATATTTTCAAATTTTACTTTGAAACCATTTCTAGTTATAATATTTACAAAATTCATCCATCGTTTAGAAAAAAGACTTTTTTCATTTTTTTTTTGAAAATATTTTACAATTGCTTCACAATCTATTCTAATAGTAAAAACATCATTTCGGATAAAAAGTCTAAAAGAATTTAAAGAGTTTATAACTCCTAATATTTCAAAATCAAGCAATGTTAAAGAATTTTTACCTTCTCTATACAATCCACTAGAGTATTTACAAATTTTTTCTTCTTTTTGGGATTAAAATTCATTTGGTCTTACTAACAAAATTGCTCCCCATCCTTCACTACTACTATCAATCTTGATTATTTTGTAGCCCAATTCCAATGGTAGATTTAGAGAGGGAAGTTTTTAACTTTATTTTTTATTCTTTTTACAAGTCTGACGTCCTCACTATTAAAAAACTTTTGTCCTTTAGGACTAAGTTTTGCACATAATGGTCCAATCAGTTTAGATACATCTTTTATATACATTCGAGCATAATTAAGTATACCTAAGAATTTTTGAAGTTCTTTCATTTCCTCGATTTTGATGGGAAATTCAAGAATCTTCTTAACTACATGATCTTGTAACTAAAATTTTCCCTATCCAATATGCATTCCTAAGAATGCATTCAATGTAGTCTTTGGAGAGTTCCATTTTCTTTTTAGAAATTATAAGGTAATTTTTCAGGAATTCAATAAAAACAATCTGAAGATGTTTGATATGTTCTGTCTTAGTTTTGCTGAAGATGAGAATATCATTTATGTTTACCAAGACAAAATCAAAATATTTTTTGAATATTTGATCCATCTTTCTTTGAAATATTGAAGGTGCATTTTTTAATCCAAACGACATGACTTGCCATTTAAAATATCCTTCAGAACAAGTGAAGGCCGTCCATGGAATGGATTCTTTTCCCATTTTTATCTACCAGAAACTAGATTTACAATCAAATTTTTTGAAAATTTTTGAATTTTGAATGCAATTAATTAGTTCATCCTTATCTGGTATTTTGTATGCATTTTCATAAGTGTTATCATTTAGCCTTTTGTAATTTATAATCATCCTAGCTTTTCCTTGTTTAATTTTTGCGTGATTTCTTACCATGAAAGTTGCAGAGGAATGTCTAGAAGTAGAATGCTTTATAACTCCTAAGGCTAAAAGTTCTTTTATTTGAACTTCAAATTCTTGCCTATCAAGTGGATTGAGATCCAACTACCACAAGTAATTCTAAGTTTAGGATTTATCATATCTAATTTTGCTATACATTTATTTCAATCCCAATATTTGATTAGGTCTTCTCCTAAAACTTAAGTTTCATCAGCTATCCTGATTAACTCATCTAACTTCATTCTTTTGTAATTTTTATTTTTTCTTTTATTTTCTTCTTTTTGCAAATGTGAAAGCATTTTTTTCTATATTTACATATATTTCTTCTTCATCACTAATTAGGTCAACAAAAAATGATAATCCATAGAATCATCAAATATTTCCAAAGTCTCTTATGAGTGATTCAGTATATAATTAGATTCTAATAAATCATCAAAAAACTTTTCATCATTACTTAAATAATTACTATTATATTCAAAATGCTTATTTAATTTATTTTGGATTTTTTGGGGTGCTATTTCTTCTGGTTTTGGAAGGTTCATAACATATTTATCTGTTGGAGTGTAACATGTTCGTTTTGCAAAAACCATTAGAAGAACTTGTCATTTGGCCTTGAAAGTGAGATAAAATTTAAGCCAATTATGAAGGGATAATTATTTTGGATATTATGTACAATTACTTGACGTAATATGTACTTTTCTTCAAAACTTTTTTTTTTAATCCCCAATCCCAAAAAGAAATTTTTGAATCTTTTAAGCATTTATCATATTTGAGTTGAGTTCCATCCATTTGAGTTCCATAAACAGTTTTCATTGGTAAAACTTGAGAACTTAGGATTTCAACTTCAAGGATGTGAGATTTTGGTGCTCCTGTATCAATCATTCCTAAAATTTCTTTAGTTTCTCCATTTTTAAAGGCAATTGAATATAGTATGCTGAGTAAAGAATTTGGATCTTTGGGATTTGTTGGAACGATAGCTGATAAAGTAAAGATTTGCTCCTCTTTATCTAATGTTTCTTCATTAGCATCTTTTCCTTTTAGAGTAAATTTTGCTAATTGTTTCTTCAATTCTTTTATTCTTTGGTGGAGAGATTCAATTTGTTTTTCTAATTGCAAGATGTATTTTTCTTTTTCATTGAGAGTTTTATTCATTGATTTTAATTCTTGCAATATATACAACTTTTCTACGTCCCTAATTAATTGTTCTTCATTTAATGTAGAGATGTGCATCTGTTTTATAGGTTTTGAAGGTTGTATCTCTTTAACTTCTTCGTTTGTTTTTTTTTTTTTTGTTTTTTTTTTTGTGACAAAATACACAATATACTCTTGAGCATATTGTACATTTCATTTTTGTAGAAAGCTGGGTTTACCTATGACAATCTAAGGAATTTTCCTATTGTGGTGGTTGATTTAATTGTCATAAGTTTTTACAATCAAAATCAATTTTGATCATCATGATCTTAACACTATTTAGTTTTTTATCAAGAGAATCTATAAATTGCTAAAGATTTTGATCTTCAGAATCCATATCTTCTTCATATTTTGAATAAGATTGAGACATATCTTCTATAAAAATATCTTTTAAAATGATGCTGTAAACATCATGTCACACCCCAAAACCGAGAGCGAAACAAACGCCATGCACTTGTGAGAGGATCCCGCAAATGCACAAAGCTCAGAACTTGTTAAATTCATTACTAACAGTCCACATAAACTTAGATCGATATTTCAAAATAAAATCTAGCTTACAAAAAATAATCTACAACTCAAAATCTACGTCCAAAATACAATGGCTAGCCTTCTAGCTCATCACTCCCCTTGGTTTTCCACGTCTTGGGTCACACTACTTGAAATGGTGGACAAAGGAAAAAAAACTATGTGAAATAACTTAGGAAGTAAAAATATGAATAACCCTTAATTAAAATTTATAGCATGCCAATAAGTGTAACCAAGTATCAAGAAAAATGGGTACAATTACGGGAATGAAATAGACGTCTCCTCTATAGGTCATGGCCAACGTTTATAAACCTCCCACTGATGGGCACAAGATTTACTAGTATATAATCCCACTAGCAGGACAACAAGTATAACAAGAATGAACCAGTTCCATAAGTAACATGTCAACATGTGCTAACGTTTATAAACCTCCTACTAGCGGGCACAGTAAAACATGACCATATTGGAGACAAAACCATGCGAGATTTAACAAGAAAACCATAATTTACAAATAATTTCCAAATCATCAAGGTAGTCAAGTAAACTCCAAGTAGGCATGCTCAATTCAATGAAAATGATAATAATTTTATTTCAAACCAATCATGCTCTTGTTTGTGTAAAATGGGTTTAGTCTCGCCATCATTTTAAAAACCATCAGAAATATGCTTTCAAAAACTTTTACCTTAAATCCAAAGGCATTACCATACTTTTACTTATCTCGCCTTGTAGGTATACGACAAACAAGGAATTCAATAAGTCAAGGTACTTGAGGTGATTTCCAACCTAAGCCACATCAAAGAACAAACAAGATTACAAAATACCCCATTTAACTAAATTAATTTCTAATTCCAATATCAAGTTTCTTAACCAAAGAAACAACCTCTCCCTACACATCCTGATTACCTCTACCCTTTTAAAATAGCTCCAAAAAGACCCTACATTTGGTGGTTTTACAAGGCAGATTTACACGACAAAACAAAATGGAAAAATATGAGAAACCAAGCTCAAATTTTTCCCCAAAACAGCAGCACAAAAGCTGGGCAATAAGGTGGGGATTTTTTTTCTATTTAAAAAAATCTCAAAATGCTCGGAAAAAAGCCGCAAACAATAGAAATTTTCTGGGCAAAACAGCAGGGATTTATGGGCAAAAACAGCAGAATTTCTAGTAAGAACAGCAGAATTTTTATAGACAAAACAGCAGTTATTTATGGTTTAAAACAGCAGAAATTTCCGACAATAACAACAGAATTCTTCTAGGCAAAACAGCAGCAAAATAACAGGATTTTCTGGGTAGAAACAGCAGAAAATTCATGGGCAAAACAGGAGTAAAACAGCAGCAAAATAGCAGGATTTTCTGCGTAAAAAC